TAATAGGAGGCACAGAATCATGAGGAGCAGAGAACATGCCCAGGAGGACTCCACTCCAGGGTTCGCGTCCGCCTCTCCTAATTAGGAAATAAGTTATGGGGGATCCGCCGAGGAGACTGCTAGTCTGATTTTGGAACCTTCGGGCAACAGGGGCTTCCTTTACTCGGAGTCAATATCTCCCAGTCGTAAGAAAATCTCCATGATTTCATCTGAGTCAAATGGGGTTAGTTTTCAAATGGAATCCCTGAGAGATTGATAGAATGGATGTTGGCTGCATTGAACAGGAATACCATAGCTCTCAAAAGAGAGAGAGAGAGAGAGAGAGACGCAACAGAACAGTAGCAAAATAACAAAGCAGTAGCATAATAAAAAAGGTTAACCCTAGTTTATGTTTGTGATTGACTAGAAATAGAGATGTTTTTCTCTGAATGACCTACTTGCATATTGCCACAACATGAGAGGTTAGTAATGAATGCTATTCCTATTCGATTTCCTCTGAATTCCGGGCATAATGTTACAGCAGTTCAGTGAAAATCAAAGCCTTAAAAAAATTCCAAGCTAAGAAAATACCAGATGTGTTTTCACTTATTTTATTTTGCTTGAATGATGTATTTAATGCAATTGTCAGTGCCAAAAAATGCCAATAACCAGTGAATGATATCCTTATTGAAGCTTACATGACTATATGACTCCATTGAAAGATTTTGGATGCACATGACTTTCTTATTTTTTCCAGTGTTGGATGAAAAGCAGATCAGATCTAAAATGCTTACTTTCACATCTTTTCAAACTTGCAAAAAGCAATGTCTTTTGAGATGAACGATAAAGATGTAAATCAATACAATTTAAAAAATGGTAAACTTCCTCTGAAGACAGTGAATGCTCCAAAATTTAGTGTCAGCAGTCTTTCTCCAGATGCCATCTTTGGTCCCAATTATTTCAATAATTTTCTCAAGCTAAAGTTAAAGTCTGTTGATAATAAATGGAAAGGAGAGGCCCTGTTCATATCCATAATCCCTATCTTGAAATTTCTACTCGTCTCTGCCATTTTGTCAGGCCTCCCAGCTGATTTTCTCTGAGCGAATCTGTTTGACATAAATCATTGAAATTTCAGAACTGACATGGCGCAGCCAACTGGATGACTCTTAATTAACTTAGGTAAAACTGTAAGTGTAAGGAGACATTCTTTTACTATTTATTTTCATGTTCTGTAATTCTCTGTCTCACTCTACTGTAATGCCAGAAGGTTATAGCTTCTGGACGATGATCTTGGCGCTTCTGGGCGTTTATCTTGGTGCGACTGGGCATTACCCTCAATGATTTATGGGTGTTGCAGTGAAACAGTGATTCTGTAACCCACAGGCATTCCTGAAGTTGTCTCTTTTTCTTAGAAGAGGCTGCATACAGGTTTTTTATGCGATTACACCCCGTTCACATAAATCACACAAACAAGCTGAAAAAGACACGGGCAGATTTATCAAAATCCATCACACGTGTTGTTGGAGGCTAGCGTTTTCCTGCTGTGTGTTGTTTCTTGCTTTGCTATAGATTATTCTTGTCGAACAGGAGAGAACCGTCCTTTCCTTCAATGCAGAGAGAATAGCTAGCTGTTCCCAGCATGCCGGTAGGCCCACACCAGAATAATATGATGAATGGGTTGAGCAGTTCTGCTCATTTCAGCTGAGGCTCGAATTGAAAGAGATACAGTTCTCCGGAAAAGAAGGCTAATCACGCTCAGTGAACTCCCAAAGGTAAAAAAAAAAAAAATAAAAAAGCTAAGCTATTTGACCTAAGTCACCATTAGCCGCAAAACACCCGGGTGCAATCAACTGTACTACTTTTTAATGAAGGTATGTTGCTTACGAGTTTCAGAAGACAATGCTAAAAAAAGAGTCCAATTTCTTAGCTGGCTGAATAGCATATTATAAATGCTTAAATAGGTCTTAATAAAATTCATGTTGATACTAAATACTGTGCCATAATATGCGTGGCGGGTCCTGTGCTGTGGCAAACTGTGGGCCTTAATTTTCTCATTGCGTAGCCGCTCCTTGCAAAAAGAAAACAATTTAAAGAATGCTAGGATCGTTTACATGAGAGTTCATTTTAATATGTGCACACAATGGCGATCTGTGTCATGTCACACCCACTGAAAGGGAGTCCAGGGGCCTTGGGGCATTGAGTGATGTATTAGACATACGAGATCATTTGAGGAACCATCCAATTTTTGGGAAATGTATCAAAGTTTGCATTACATTTATAGCAGGATCAGGCAGTCAAATGATGTATTTTCAGCACAGAGAAAGATTGAGAGATAAAGAGGGAGAATGGGAGGAAATGACGGGGTAGTGAGTGACAGGTTATGAACATAAACACAAGGGGGTTGAGAGAACACTGAGAGATAGAAATGCTCTTGAGGAAATGCAAAGCTTTTTTTCTTCTTTTTTTTCCACTCTGAGTGGCATTCCTCAATTACTTCCAAATCTCAAAAACACACTCTTAGAAGCACTGGTCCACACTTCTGTTGTGATTTCAGGACTGCTGTTTGTGCAAATTATGGTTTTCTGCCAGTGAAGAGAAGGAAATAATAGGTTTGCATTTCTTCTGCTGCATTGAAAGATGGATTTGGAATGTTTTGTGGACGTTGTGAGAAAAAAAAAATGTGGCAAATGTGCCACTGCCAGCCACTGATTTTTATCTTTGCAGCTCTTTGCTTTGCATGTTTTTCCAATTCCAGGACACTGACCAATCATGAAACATGTTTTTTCCTATCCTATGTAGCCAGTTGTAAATGGGGACAGAGAGAGCACATAAGGCCCTAGTTAAAACAAAAAAACAACTGAGAATAACACAGGAACATAACTTCACAAAGTAAATGGCATAAGAGCGCGTTTATGGGTACAGTCACGCCACCTGCAAAGAGCATTACACCATTTGCCCTTCTCTCAATACTAAAAAAAAAAAAAAAAAAAAAAAAGATGCGGCCACAATCTTCCGATGCGGGTGGGATGATAAATTAATATATATTTTCATGGGGCCTCACCGTGAACAGGAATGCAGACCTCAAATACCTCTATTTCCAGGCTATCTTTCTGCACCTGCTATACTTTTCTTGTTGACAGATCAGCTGTCACTCTGCAATGCACATCTGCAGAACCAGCTGTTGCTTCAGCCAGAGTTATGCATCCAATATGAAATGCAAAACAAGCACTGTCTCCACATTATGGAAAAACCGGCAGCAGCAATAATAGTCAACAATGGTACACAGGTGCACATGGGAGTTGCTTTCAGAGTCACATGATTTTCCTTTTAATCGCCGTTTATTGGTGCTGCGGCTCAGGAGTGGACGGGACACACATAGGAATGAAGAAACTTAATTAATTTATCGATAGTGGTAGCACACGGTTCAATAACATACATGGGATTTTGATTGATTTAGTCCTTAATTAAAGTCACCCAAACATTTTTTTCTTGGAAAAATGAAATATATTGAGCTCTGTTCATTTTCATGACTCAGTTGGGATACTTCCCACAGACTTCATAATATTGCGCACCAGTGCTTTGTACAGTATGATCGATTGAAACATTCTAAATCAATTTATTCATTTATATTTAGGCTCATTATGCATTTGTGTCTGGAAAGCTGTTAAAATAAAGCTTAAACACATTTACAAAAAGAGGGAAATTAAGGGAACAAGAAATCACACTTCAGCCTAAAAACTGAAAATTTACTCCCACACAAAAGGATGAGTTTAGAGTAACGTGCTATGCTTAGTTATAGATTCAACTTGAGGAGACAAAGCCAAATTACACCCACCCAACAATGCCATGCCTGTTCACTTTTAATTCAGAATTCGCCTGTACTACAAGCTTATGCCACCCAGTGACTGGAACATTGTGACTGTAATGTGGCTGAGCAGGTAATGATTTGGGTTAGAACTCAATTTGGAGGCTAAGTAGCTGATACTGGAGGATGTGGTGATGGTCTGTGGTGTGTGGTCTTTTTGATGGGGGCACTCTTTCTTTGGGGCAAAGGTAGTATCCAACCATATCAGCAAAATGACAGCAGGCCGGCAGTGGAATGCCTTGTGGGTCAGAGAGGAAAAGTCCAGCCATGTGTTACATCCACTGAGAAATTTAGCCGAAATCTCCTGCCTACAGAGTTGTACTTTTTAGCAAATCCACTGGTAATTAGAACAGCATGCCTTACATTTCGAACCTGGATTCTCTCACCTGTATTGGGAACCAGTGTTTTCTATGGTGCTGCCTTGTGGATGAGAAGACAAAGAATGGTCTCACTCAGGACACCAGGGATCGAAATTCTGCTGGGATCCTGACCAAACTTTGATACCTGACAGAACTTATGTAGATGATATGCTATAATTTTTCTGCTTGCATTATAGCCCTTATTTATGGTGTAATGCGCAATAATGCTGAAAATGCCCCTATCCCACATTGATAGAGATTTCTTTAAAAAATGATTGGATTCGGATAGTGATCCAGATCACCATCAAAATTTAGTGGATAGTTCCTTGTACCATCCCCGACGCCTCCAGGAAATTTCATTGAAATCCATTCTTAACTTTTTGAGTAATCCTGCAAGCGAACAAACAAACAGACAAACAAACTAACAAATGAAAGGTCATTCTTAGCACAATGACTTGCTAAAATCAAAATTTAAATAGGTGAAAAGATACATTATATTGCCTAAAGAACAGAATCAAAAAAATTTATTTTGGCATAAATCGAAAAAACTGACGTCACAGCGTACTTCGCGCACTTACGTCAGAGTGCTGTCATCGCGACCCCTAATTGCTAGAACCGCATTGCGTTGACGAAAAGAATGGCATTAGTTTTAAGTCTTTAGCTAAATTAGAAACACAGTTTTGGATTAAAATGTGTTTTCGACCTTTTTTGTGACCTTGACCATGACCTTTGACATAGAAACGTAAAAAAGTATAGGTCTGCAGCGAGTAACCTATGCGAACATGTCTCCAAGTTTTGTTACGATTGGATAAATGGTAAAGCATCGCGTTGCGAAGCAGAAGTGACTATCACGTCGCGGGTTCGATCCCCGCTTCGTACCAGCCGGCAGTGGTTGGCAGCTTTTTCAGAGTAGCGCACAATTGGCTATCATGCTACAGGGTTGCAAATTGGGAAGGGACTGCCGGGAAGGGAAAATAATAGTTGCCTTGTTCGTTGCTCAAGCGCCTCCTGTTGGCCAGACGGGCGCTCGTCAGGAAGATTCTAAGCCTGTTCATGTCCGGGTATCCTCCGCCCTCGTTCTGAACTTGCGAAGATTCAACCAATGAGTGTATAAGAAGCGGTGGCTGACAGGCTTCGGAGGAGAGCCGCGAACTGTCTACACTCTCCAGAATTGGCAGCAAGGGGTCGCATACGAGCAAGCCTTGTACATAGTTCACCAATTGGGCATTCCAGATTCGGGTGGGATTGGAGATGCCAAATTTAAAAAAAAAAAAAAAAAAAAAAAAAAAGATTGGATAAATGGCAAAAGGGTGCATAACTAACAGACAGAAAAACAGATGTCAAACGCAACTGACTGATATACTTGCCAAAATTGATTTCGGCAAGTGACAAACCAACGCCAACTAAAGCATAACCTCCTTGGCGGAGGTAACAAAGATATTTTTAGTATTTTATGCTGGATGTTCAGAGGATATTTACATATGCCAATACAAATTCACAACTCGAAGGATAATTTAATTGCTGTGTAAATAAGAGCCATCTATATATTATTACTGAGTTGGCGATTTGCGTAATTTCACATATCTCCTCCAAAACCACCATGAACAATGAGTCTGTTTTCCGCACACACCGGTTTTATTGTGTGACAAAGACGATACGCCAAGTTCCGAACTAAGTTATGAAGTGAAAAATGCATTTTGAAGCCATTTTTGCAAGTAAAACTGGCTAATTCAATCAGCTGTTATTGTGCCCACGCATATAGCCCGTGGCTAGTATTTTTTTTTAATCTGCACAAAAATGTAGTACTTGCTTATGGAGTGGGTAGAATGTTAGATGACCTGTGTTAGGTGGCTATTATTCACCAGCTATTCGCACTAATTTTGATTGATCCAACAGAAAAGATGCAGAAAACTATCCATGTTGACTGTCCGTGCATAAATTCAAAAGATTTATTGAGATACCGGTGTCCCAGCCACTAAGGTACTGAGAGTAAGCCTCTGGCACCAAAAAGTATTTTCACATTTTCACCAAACTAATCACTCTCCGGGGACTGATTAAGTACTTTTTTCTCAGCAGCAGAAATGAAGATTCAAGTTAGATTTTTATTCTTGCTATAGCTTCCAAGGGTGCGTGCCAAGAAATCCCCAATGCACATGCTCTGGTGCCAAAACGCCCTACAGTCAAACATGGCAGCCTCCATGAATTGGATCCTGGCTCCACTGACCAGCTCCCCTGACACTCTTGGTGCCTGGTCTGTTGAGACCTTCTCCAGTTCCTTATACCATATAATCATGATGGTCTCAACACACTTTGAGTTCCCATTCCATCACAGCAAAGGTGATAGATCTTTGTTGACTTACACGGTTAAAAACATTTGCATATTGCTGTACTCTGCTTGAATTGCAAGTAGCAGGGTCCTCAAATCAGACACACATCATCTTTGGCCTCTACTGTGACGTCTTCATAAGGATATTTATCATAGATTTCCTCAGTTGACAGCAGATCAGGTGGGAACTGCTATTCATTGTTGAATGTAGAGCTTTTTTTCTCTCAACCCTTCTTGTTTGGTGTTGCAAAGGTCACAAATACGTGATTTGAAACTGAAATTTCTAATTCTTTTAGCAACAATCACTAGATACTGGCTGAAGCACATTGACTTCAAGTGGCTAATGAAATCTTGGAGTGACACTCTGACACGGCACTTTCCAAAATCTCTCCTCAAGTATTCGAAGCCAGATCCAGGTGTTTGAGGTGTTCCATCTTGTGCACTTGCTGATACACTAAATAAGCCCTTTATTCCTCTCATCGGATATGCTTTAGGTCAAAAACATCAAATTCTAGGATCCAGCCTGGATAGTTCAGGAGAGGTTGAGGAACCAATTATGTAAGGGAAGGCTGGGTAAGTTGAGCATAGGGGTAAGTTGAGCCACCACCTCCCAGCCAGTAATTAATGAGTCAGGAATTAGGGTGGCATCATCTAAAGATAGCCCATTGAATAACTCCAAACCCAGCTATATTGTTTTTTGAGTTGATATAGAAATCAGTGTTGCAGAGAGAAAAATTTGATTTTCTGCCATAAAAGTGAAAAACCACAATACAGGTAAGCGGATGTATGCAACATAGACATAATATGGGTATAAGATGTCAATTAATAGTCCAGGTATTGGTCTTCATTCTTGTCATAGCCTTTTACATGAGGGATGCATAGGATCTTTGTTCACGTGTAGACATCTCAGGAACTTCAGACTGGGGTAAGTTGAGCCATGGCTCAACTTTCCCCGTAGGGTCTGGCATTGAAGTAATAACATAAATATATACTAAACAATATAAATATATGTGTACTATAAATGATATAAACATATGCTGTAATAACAAAAATATATATTTAATATCATTTTTTCTCTCTCAGAGGCACATGAGAAATGCGGAACTATAAGTGAAAGACGAACCGAGGACAAACTCCCCACAATGTTATGGAACGAGCGGCTGATGCTGTTGCACGTAGACAGAGTGTGCGGAGTGCAGCCAAGGATTTTGCCATCGATCGAATGATGTTTAAACGAAACATTGAAAAGAGAGATAGACAACTAGGGACTGTCTATGCTGCTGTCGCCTTGCGGCATCAGACACTGTGCTTCACATATCTTTATTTTGGGCAATGATCAACTTACTCTGGTGTGGCGACACTTACCTCAGAGGTTGGATCAACTTACCCCGTCAGTGGGGCAAGTTGAGCCATTTGACTTCCATTTTTTCAAAGATCGCAGTGACCTTTAGGGTGGGGGTAGAAAGTTAGAACTAAATATAAAACGTGTCCCAAGGATTAAATTAGAAGGCAAGATACTTATTTTGCAAGGTCATCAGTCATTTCAGTCCTAACATGCCAAGACCAAAAAATGGCTCAACTTGCCCCGCCTTCCCCTAGTGAAACTGCTACCAAAGACAAATACACAAAATAATTTGAAATTTTAAAACGCACGTTCATTTGTTAATCTGTGCTTATAATTATCAATTGGGTTAAAGCTGGTAAATGCATTAGACAATTCTGTAAATTAAAACTTTCTTGTGTTCAATACAAAGAACAGCGGTTACAACTTTATTGATTAACATATCAACTCTCACACAGAGAGCAGCTTAATATTAGCAATAATCTTTTATGACTTGAACAGATGCACATATCTGGCACAGTAAGGGACCTTCAACTCAACATTTTTACACATCTATTAAATGCAGTGGAGTGAACACTGGAGAAATTCACAAAATTCACAGTGGTTATCACTCTATGCTCAAAGGCACTCCATAGTAACTCACCTAGGAATCACATCTGAAATGCTATCCAATCTATCATTCAACCCTTTTTTTTTTTTTTTTTTACTGAGAATGGGTTGTTTTCATGGTTTTGCTGTACTGTTTGAATGCTTTGCGCGCGTGCATGTGTGTGTGTGCGTGCGTGTTTGTGTATCATTATATTGATGATGATGTTAAATTTTAGTGTTTGTCTTTTCCTTTCTTCACCGTAGCCTCACCTTTCTGTCCACCTATGGGTGAGATTACACAGTTGCAGGAATACAAGTCACTGCCGAACAGATTGTACAATTGATTGGCGCCTTAGTTTTGTCACATTATTCTATCATAGCCACACATTGACCAGCAGATCACAGAATATTTCTAGATGGCCTTTTAACAGACTGCTGTGTTGCAGCAATGTGAAATTAAGAGAGAAAATCAGGAGTAATGATGATCACATTATATTGGAAGCAAGGTACGATGCACTTAACCAATTACATTAATTGAGACTGAATATGTTTGTCCATGGGGGCCAGTCATAAGTGCAGTTTTGCACCAATTCCACGTTTATAAAATATGAAAGATGAAAGGCTTTTTTATGTTAATCACCTGAGTGTAAGTACACTTTGGGGGCCAGGGAAAATGGCACACAATCTGTTATAATGGAAAGACTGCGACCATTAAGACGTTAAAAAAAATAAATTCGCTCATTGGTGGAACTTAGTGCCTTAATTGTTTCCTCTGTATTCCAGGAGGGTAATGGGCTTTGAAGGTGATTGCTTATTTTATTAATTTGGGGTGTTGTTACTGAATGGCTAAGGCCATTCATTTAAAATTCCATTTGTGGCTTCCTCATTTTGTCTAATTTCCCCTGGGTCTCCCCGAAGCATCCCCGCACCAAAACCACATGGACTCACAGAGTTTCAAATGTCCACGAAGTTCTAGTTCTCTAGCTCTCTTTTTTAAATCTGTACCTAATGTATTTTTTAAGTGTGATGGGTTTTCTGAAATAGATTAAAAAAAAACTCTTCTAAAAGCATCCTGAGCTAGACACACAGCAACAAATCAGTTATTCAGTTTCAGTCGAACAATATGCGTCAAAATCTGTCAAGCAGAGTTGAAATTTTTATCATAAATATGGTGCAGAGCATTAAATCTATCCGTAATATTGACGAGGCAATACAAGAACCTGTATGTCCTTAATCATATATTTAAAGACAAAGATAAACCTAGCATGTTACTCTGCTAATCTCATGCCAAACTAACAGCTCAAATCATCCTTGTTGACCTCCAGATTTTCTCCAATTCCACATTTTGACTCCCGGCATGCACACACACACACACACACACACACACACACACACACATATGCACAGGCACACCCAACAGCACTTTCCTGGAGACAGCTGTGAAACATGAATGGTCGATGCTCATAACACGCTCTGACGTGGCTTTTGTCCCAGGCTGTTGCAGGATGTGTGACACTGCTGCCGATAATTGACTCGATAATTGATCTGTCAACTTCGGTTCACCTTGTGAAGCCATCTAACATCACTGGCATCAGCAGTTTTTTTTTCCTCTGGAATGTGCTGTG